ATCCATGCGCCGTTCTCATGCTGTCTCCGATGTTAATATAGTGAACCCGGCTCACAGCTACGTGAGGAGACCGAACGGGGGGATGTGATAGGTCAGATTTGCCTACCAAAAAAGCGAGAGACGTATGTGCAGAGAGGATGCGGGAGGCAGGGCTCGGAACATTGCATGGTGTCAGCACCATTTGGGCCTGCAATATGCACATTACCTCAGCAATCCAGCTATTGAGGAACTACATATCCCATGAGGCCTTGCAAGACTGTGACAGCCACAGGCATGACTCCCAGAGGCAGTTGCATGGTGGAATTTCTAGTTTCACCCCCAAAGTTTTGCTACAAAGTGTCACTTTAGCGACAGCTCAGAGTCTGCTGGGGCTGCTGACATCACATCCAAGATAGCTGCACCTGGTAGCAGACTCAGGCAGGGGCGTCCCGGGGCCAGGTGTCACCCAGAGCGGATACCAGGTGACACCCCGCCATGACATCATCGTGCATGCACGCCCATCTTGACGATACTTGCCGGCGGCCATCTTGGTGATGGATGCTGTTAGAGAGAGGAGGGAATAAGGTATGCCGCCGGGTCCCCTCCTCTCTCCTGCAACTGTCGGGGTCTCGGTCCAAGACTTTTCAGAGGGGTGACACCAAAATGTCAGTTGGTCACCCGGTTGTAGACATGTGCGATTCGTTTCGTTACGAATCGAAATTCGTACGAATTTTCCTGAAATTCGTAAATTCTGAAGCATCCGAAATCCGAATTGCAGTTTCCGAATTATATCCGAAATATGAAATTCCGTTAACGAATTTCGTATTCCGAATTTCTTTGAAACAGGAACTAATATTACCCCTGTAAATGAGGTTGAACAACATGACAAGATTTTTTTTAAATCCGAAATACGGATCCGCTGCTGCTGAGGGTTGCATTACAATACACAGGCAGGAAATGCGAAATTCCGTTGACGGAATTTTGTTCCGTTACGAACATTCGTTATTTTGAAGTTAAAAAGCAAAGTACATCTGTTAATATATTGGAGTTGATGGTAGTTTTTTAAAATCCAAAATACGAAATTCGGATCCGGAATCCGTTAACGGAATTCGTATTTCGTTTGGTTGACCAATCAGAGGTTTTCTCTTCTGCTGCTCAGAGTTGCATTACAATACAGGCAGGAAATACGAAATTCCGTTGACGGAATTTCATTCCGTTACGAACATTCGTTATATTGAAGTTAAAAAACAAAGTACATTTATATTGGAGTTGATGGTAGTTTTTTTTTATCCGAAAAACAAAATTCGGATCCGGAATCCGTTAACGGAATTCGTATTTCGGATAAAAAAACAACAACCACATCGACTCCAATATTAACAAAGGTATTTTTGCTTTTTAACTTCATCATAACAAATGTCCGTACAGTTACGAAAATGTGCCGAAACTAACGAAAATTCGTATTTCGTACGAATCCGAATTGAGTTTCGGACACGAATTACGAAATAACGGATATTACGAAACGGAACAAATTTTTTGACGGCGCACAAGTCTATCCAGTTGCGGGCTGCACCCCACGCGTGATGCCACTGGTCTCAGGGCTTTTGGATGGCTTTACAAGGAAGGTTTTGACTGATCATAAAATACCTTCAATGCAAATAAAATCACACGGGGGAGGTTGTGGTTGAAATGAACGGCCTGGTGACAGGTTCTCTTTAATACCTTCAGAGGAAGTTGGACGGAATTCCAAATTCTTTGTTTTATGGGTCAGTTTACAATGTATTAGCCCGGGTTCATCATATACTGTGGAATTCTCAGGTGTGGAGGGTTTATAGATGACGGTTGTAGAAAACTATGCGAATCATGATTTTTCTTTTGTCATTTATTGTATTTATTGTGTAAACTGCTCCATTTGTAGCCTGGAAGTCGCACAGAATAAGTTGCGCAACATTTGTTGACCTTCCTCATAGTTCATTGCTGGGTGGGTGCTATCCCCGTGTCCCACGCCCGCCTTTGAACTTGAGGAAAGGTTTTCTTTTTTTATTACAAAAGGGAGACCTGGCGACTGAAAAATGCTGCAGACCCGGTTCCATGGCCCGCATGGGCCCCTGTGTAGTAATTGTTCAGGTGTCAGTCATCCTCTCAGTGGACAAGGACGGAATCCAGCGTCTTTGTCTCATTTGAGGTTCCCCTGGCCGATGTGTTGCTTTTCCATTCAAAAACCTAATGTGGACCATTCAGTAACTTCACAAGTCTGTAGGAATATATTCCGGATATGTCACAATAAATGGTAACAGTATCCAGTGGCGTCACAAGGGGGGTGCAGTCACCTGGGTGACACCATTGGAGGGGTAAACAGAAACAGGAACCATACCGCACTCCTTACCGGGATTCCCACTTTGATGGGGATAGGTGCTCGAAATGACTGCGGATGGCACCGCCACACATGAACAATAGAAACATGTCACCAGCACACCATAAGTTGAAAAAGCAAAATATTTTATTGCCAATAGCTGTATCTCATCGGCACTAGCCACTAGCCAATGAGATACAGCTATTGGCAATAAAATATTTTGCTTTTTCAACTTATGGTGTGCTGGTGACATGTTTCTATTGACCATTCGAGGCATGACACCAAAATGACTGACAATCATTTTGGTGTCACCCTCTATCTGAAACGTCGGGCACTCGGTCAAGAGCCCGACAGTTGCTCAAGAGAGAGGAGGGGACCCGGCGTCATACCTTATCCCGCCGGGTGAAGTCCCCTCTTCTCTCTGAGGGGTCCATCACTAAGATAGCTGCCGGCAGGTAACGGCGTACGCGATGACGTCACTGCGTGGTGTCACCGGGTACCCGCACCGGGTGTCATTAAAGCATTATTAAACCCTCACATTTTTTTGCATTTATCTACGGCTAGCAAGCAGTAGATAGATGCAAACACTTTTTTTTAAAAAACCTTTTGAAACATGTTTAAACTTACCTGTGTCTTCGCAGCGCGCTCCCGTCCGAACATCCGAAGAGTCTCGGGTGGCCGCAAAGGATCCTGGGGCGGGCGCATGCGCAGTTCAGATGTTCGGCCGGGAGACGAGGAGAGACACAAGGTAAGTGTATGCAGCAGCGTGCACCCGCACAGACTCCGTGGGACATCAGAGAAGAGGAGGCCAAAGGAGTCAGCGCTGGATCGGAGACCCGCACCCAATGCTGGAGGGACAGCTGGAAAGGACAGGAAAGAAGATGATCGGATTAAGAGACATCATTTAAGGTAAGTCCTGACACTAAAATTGGGGGGAGGGAAAAGAAAATATCCTTTAATATCACTTTAAGAAGCTGGTCCGGTGACTTGGTTTAGGCTCAGATGATGTCATCAGTCAGAGGGAAGCATTTTCACAGTCTCCTCTCCCATAGTGATCGCTCACATTGTGTATTGTAACTTTGTACCAGTATGAATAGAACGCATGCAGGATTTGTTGTCTCCATTGTAAGGGCCCTTCATGGATCAGCTGCACTCGTATCTTAAGAGTGTGTTATTACCAGTGATAGCTGAGGGTCTATTCTCTAAATCTTTCACCCAGCCATACGCTGCGCGAACGCCGTTCACACAGCGTTTTCACCACTAGATGGAGCCGAGGAGCATAGAAATTTGTCCTATATAGTGTGTATAGATCTCCATGCTCTGTGTCCTCTGTATATAGATCTGTGTCCTGTCCTGTATATCGCAGTTTATAGATCTGTATCCTCTGTCCTGTATAGTGCAGTATATAGATCTGGATCCTCTGTCCTGTATAGTGCAGTATATAGATCTGTATCCTCTGTCCTGTATAGTGCAGTATATAGATCTGTAGCCTCTGTCCTGTATATCGCAGTATATAGATCTGTATCCTCTGTCCTGTATAGTGCAGTATATAGATCTGGATCCTCTGTCCTGTATAGTGCAGTATATAGATCTGTATCCTCTGTCCTGTATAGTGCAGTATATAGATCTGTATCCTCTGTCCTGTATAGTGCAGTATATAGATCTGTATCCTCTGTCCTGTATATCGCAGTATATAGATCTGTATCCTCTGTCCTGTATAGTGCAGTATATAGATCTGTATCCTCTGTCCTGTATAGTGCAGTATATAGATCTGTATCCTCTGTCCTGTATAGTGCAGTATATAGATCTGTATCCTCTGTCCTGTATAGTGCAGTATATAGATCTGTATCCTCTGTCCTGTATAGTGCAGTATATAGATCTGTATCCTCTGTCCTGTATAGTGCAGTATATAGATCTGTATCCTCTGTCCTGTATAGTGCAGTATATAGATCTGTATCCTCTGTCCTGTATAGTGCAGTATATAGATCTGTATCCTCTGTCCTGTATAGTGCAGTATATAGATCTGTATCCTCTGTCCTGTATAGTGCAGTATATAGATCTGTATCCTCTGTCCTGTATAGTGCAGTATATAGATCTGTATCCTCTGTCCTGTATAGTGCAGTATATAGATCTGTATCCTCTGTCCTGTATAGTGCAGTATATAGATCTGTATCCTCTGTCCTGTATAGTGCAGTATATAGATCTGTATCCTCTGTCCTGTATAGTGCAGTATATAGATCTGTATCCTCTGTCCTGTATAGTGCAGTATATAGATCTGTATCCTCTGTCCTGTATAGTGCAGTATATAGATCTGTATCCTCTGTCCTGTATAGTGCAGTATATAGATCTGTAGCCTCTGTCCTGTATAGTGCAGTATATAGATCTGTGTCTTGTATATCGCAGTATAAAGATCTGTGTCCTGTATATCGCAGTATATAGATCTGTGTCCTGTATATCGCAGTATATAGATCTGTGTCCTGTACATCGCAGTATATAGATCTGTGTCCTGTATATCGCAGTATATAGATCTGTGTCCTGTATATCGCAGTGTAGAGATCTCAGCATCTCCTCTCTCGGTCCTGGTGAGGCTTCTGTGCGGTTGCTGGCCGGTCCGGGTTGCGCAGCTCCAGGTGATGATCAGCCTGACATGGGAGATCTGTACAGAGGGCTGGCCGGTGACTTTGCCTCTCTCCCTCTGCCAGGGACCTCAGAGGGGGCGGACACTCAGCCCCCGCCCAGCCCCTGACACCCGGAGCCACGTCTGAATGAGGTTCATTGTGAGCAGAGAGAGGAGAGAGGTGAGTGCACGGGAGGGGAGAGTGGAGGGGTCTGGGGGCACTTCACTGAGGATCTCATCCAACCTACCCAGAGCACCTAGCCTGGCACCCATCATATACTGAGCACCCATCATATACTGAGCACCCATCGTATACTGAGCACCCATCGTATACTGAGCACCCATCATATACTGAGCACCCATCATATACTGAGCACCCATCGTATACTGAGCACCCATCGTATACTGAGAACCCATCATATACTGAGCACCCATCATATACTGAGCACCCATCATATACTGGCACACAGAGCACCCATCATTTACTGAGCACCCATCATATACTAAGCACCCATCATATACTGGCACACAGTGCACTCATCATATACTGGCACATAGAGCACCCGGCATATTCTGGCACACTGAGCACCCATCATATACTGGCACACTGAGCACCCATCACATACTGGCACACTGAGCACCCATCATATACTGGGCACCCATCATATACTGGCACACAGAGCACCCATCATATACTGGCACACTGAGGACCTATTATATACTGGGCACCCATTTTATACTGGCACACTGAGCACCCATCATATACTGGCACATAGATCACCCATCATATACTGGGCACCCATTATAAACTGGCACACTGAGCACCCATCATATACTGGCACACTGAGCACCTATTATATACTGGCACACTAAGCACCCAGCCTGGCTCACTTAACGGCCATCATACACTGGGCACCCAGCCTGGCACACTCAGCACCCAGCATACACTAGCATACTGGGCACCCAGCATACACTAGCATACTGGGCACCCAGCCTACTCCACCATACTGGGCACCCAGCCTACTCCACCATACTGGGCACCCAGCCTACTCTACCATACTGGGCACCCAGCCTACTCTACCATACTGGGCACCCAGCCTACTCTACCATACTGGGCACCCAGCCTACTCTACCATACTGGGCACCCAGCCTACTCTACCATACTGGGCACCCAGCCTACTCTACCATAC